AGAGAGAGAGAGAGAGAGAGAGAGAGAGAGAGAGAGAGAGACACCCGCCCCCACCATCAAGTGTAGCATCTGTTCCGATCAGTTTCATATCAAATCCATGGTCCATCGAGACTTAAAAAAAAAAAAAAGCACATGCACGCGCGCACGAAAGTGAGAGAGAGAAAGAGAGACAGACAGACAGACAGACAGACAGACCAATCTAAATAATATGCGCCTCCACCCTCCCATGTAGTATCTGATTCGATCAGTTTCATATCCGATCCTTCCCCCCACATGATCAAGCGTAGTATCTGCTCCATTTAGTTCCATATCTGATCCATGGTCCATCGAGACCTTTTATTTTAAAAAAGAAAAAACCACGTGCGCACGCGAGAGAGACGGGTTCATCAAGATGTTCTCATAGTCACTTCCACAAGTCTGAGCATATAATATCCTATTTCTCACAGCGAGCGCCACCCCCCCCCCCCCCCCCCCCCCCCCCCCCCCCCCCCCCCCCCCCCCCTTTCCACCCTCATGGGAAGCCTGCCTTCCTGGTCATTGACACTCGTTAAACCATCACTACCTCGGAGCCTCTTTTTTCCAAGGTGGAGTGCACCTGAGCGCCAAGCTTTTGCCGAAGCGCCAGCGCGACCTTTTTGTTTCGTTTTGTTTGCCCCCACCAGCCATTTTGGTCTGGTGGCGCCCGGCCTCCCACGGCCTCCGAAGAATGTGGTCTAGGTTATATTCACGACTTCGCCTTCCAGCCTGAAACATAGTGGTGGTTTAATGCTGGGTCATTTGGGATACATGGTTGGCATCAGTTTGCTGACCCAAGAATTGAATAAACGTATACTCACACCAGGACTATTTTTACTGAATGTGTGGTCATGAATCATGGTCAGATGCATTCCCAAGTGTCCTAGTGTAAGTTTTCCCTAATAGGTCTTCTAACGTGACCTGCAGGACAGCAACATAGAGACAAATTCAGAAAACAAACAATCGGACAGCAACAGAAGGTCCTCATCCACACCCTGGGACACCAGGCAGGTTAAATAATACTGCCAACCAGAGCCTCGTCCAGGCAAAGGGGAGCAAGTTCAGGAGGCATTGAGAAGAAGATAGGACTACTCAGGGTGATAAAGGGAATAAAGGGAATGGAGTGGTCATACTCGTTCTGGACGCAGACCTCGCTGCCAAGGATGATTTGATAGTTCGCATAAGGAGTGGAGTAGGCGTATTCCCCGTAACAGGTACCATAGCCAATGGTCACTGTTTTCAGCGGCCGCACATGCCAAAAGGTGTAAAGGTAACGAAGCCATGAGCCGCTCCACATCCACCTGCACGAATCAGCAATGAAAGCAGCCGATGAGACACCAACGTTAAGCAAAGGGACACTTGTTGAGCTGCCGATATTCCAGAAAGCACAGTCACACAAACAGCAGAAGCCATGAGTTCTGTGTCAACACGAGCAGCAACAGCCATGGATTTTTCTGTTCATGGTGAAATCTTCACAGAACCGAGAGCTGAATGGAGGTGAATAAGGTTGGATTTTCAGTTCCCACTGCCTCCCACAGCCAGACCGAAGGGACACATCCCCTTTCCAAAAGATAGCACGAGTAGTCCATTTTAATTTCTGTGTTTTAATGCATAATCTGCAGAGAATCAAGATCCAAATGGTGAATAAGGTCACCTTTTCATCACTTACCTGGCTTACCACCTCCTACAGGCCGAGTAATTTCAAAGTTTTAAGTTTTAATTGCGAAATCTGTGCAGAATCAAGATCCGAATGGTGAGTATGGGCACCATTTTGACCCTGACCGCCTCACGCAGCCCCATTGACAAGAGACATCCCCTGTCTGAATAGGGTCACCTTTTTATCCTTCCTTAGTTTTACAAACAAGGGCCTCCCTAGATTCGTCGCATTTCTGGGATCTGCCTTCTGACACCAGAAAATAGGGTCCCCCCACTTACAGTGGGTTTTCATAACCTATATCAGGGACCTATTTTCACATCCTCCCTCCATGTCAGACCATAGAAAATCCATGAAAGACTTGCTAAAAAAACTGATTTTCTCCTCAGCATAGTTGCCTTGCCGCCAGTTTCTGCAGATGATCATCCTGATTGTATGAAGACACTGCTCGCCAACCGCCCACCAGTCACACCCAATTGGTGACACCCGAAAAGTAAGCTGTCGTCATTAGAGGTCAGCACCAATGCAACCCCGCTTCTAACCATATTAAACAGATGAGAGAAAGATGAATCTGTCTGATGGGAAAGAGAAGAGAGAAAGAGCGAAAAGAAGAGAAGGATAACCGGTGTCGAGGCGGTAGAACAGAATCACACAGGATGCAATAGCCAGATTTTATAACTGCCCTAAAGTTTGGCGATCGTATACACTTACCGACATCAAGTAGGTAATTAAAAACACTTGACAGATGACTTCAATACTCATGTTTCATCATACACTATTACACTGTCAAAAACTTGATGGTACAGGTGGAAAATAATGTCCACTTGGGTGCCTGGCCTCTCAGACCGAGACAACAACAAAAAACGAGGAGTAAAATGAAGTCCACGGACAGCAACAAGCAGCTGTGGCTGGCTCCCGCCATCACTTGCTTACAAACGAAACCCTTGTCTCTTCTCTCTCACTTTACGTCAAAGAGGTTCAGACGGGATTGGACACAGTCGAGCTGAATAGTTTTCCCAAAACAAATGTCGTAGGCGAGCAGTGCACTGCTGCGGCTAGCCTACCAACCCTCGTCTACCAGCCTATAGTCCGACACATCTGGGTCCAGAACGCAGCGGCTGCAGTGCAGAAAAGTGGACATTACTGCCCAGGGATCAAATCCTTTATTGTAGAACTGAATTAAGAACAGAATCAGAAGAAAAAAAAATGACAACCTTCATGGTTGGTGTATCCTTGGTTGTTCCTCTCACTGAACCTTTCTTCATGTCGTTTGGTCGTCTGTGGTCCCAGGGTGGAATACAGCTCTGAATCAAGTTTCACTGTTTCAGAGCTTTGTCAGCCATCTGCCGGTACACATTCAGAAGTCCTGTCGATGGGGCCCCAAACAGCTTGCCGGCCTTGCTGGGAAGGCATTCATCAAAGGAGGATATCACCAATGTCTCCCCAGGGTTGAGCCCCTGTACCTGCAAGATCTGGTCAAAACTACTCAACCATATCATTCGCACTGCCTACGCCCAAGCAATACCTGGAACACTTTTCCTATCCAGTCACAGTTGCAGAGTGTTGCTTCAACTTTTGAGTACAGCCTGGTCAACTGTTCTTCACAAATACCATCCCATCTCCGTCTACATGCTGCAACGCAGTGTTTGGCAGTGTCAGCAACATAGGAAAAGCCAAAGTAAATCTGATCTACATCATCATCAACCCCATCAGATGGCCAGAAATCTTATGCAGCCACCAGTCCACAACTTCATTCCCTTGCCTTTGAAACATTGTGGCTGATGTAGTTTGGGCGGTGGGGGGAAACTTCCCTGCCTCATAAGATGCTCAAGGTCTACTGGATGGACCGTGTAAGCCTGGAGACCCTTGTTGTGAGGAAGGTTTCTTCGCTGCATGGAGAAGGTCTTGTCGAAGGGAACCTGCAGAACAGCAATCTCTTTCTGCCGCGCCGACTGCAGGACCGTCAAGCTCTGGAAGAACCCGTTTTGAGTGGGAAACCTTTTTCCTCCTCCGGGTCTCCTTCATTGCCTTGATTTGCTCATCTACCTCTGTCCCCTTCGCCTCCATTCCACCTTCAACAGCTCCTGTTCCTCTGCTATCTTCTCTATGTTCCCTCTCTCTCTGTTGTCCTGGTGAGTCTCAGTCATGATCTATTTATAGCTTCCTCCCTTTCTCGACCACTAGCTCTCAAAATTACATACATCTCTTAGCAGCTCCCTTTTGGTTTCTCTACACTGGCGTTGACTGCTGGTGAAAGCCCTTTGAAACAGTTCATCCCGTGCTGATGTGGTGCTGACATGTGACAACAATGCGTCGATGGCATTGGTCTGACCATCACCAGCTGCAATACAAGTGTTAGAATCACACAGGATTCCACTTGCAGATGTGAAACAGGTAACCAAACACAATTAATAGACGACTTAGAGGATGCAGGTATAAAAATTATGTCCAATTGCGCGCCTGACACTCCAGACCAAAAGTGAGAGAGCATGTCGACGGCAACAGCAATGGGTGTGCCCACATCTTGCCATCACTTGCTGATGAGAATAAACACTTGCCTTCTCCAAGAAGTTCAGAATGAATTGGGCAGTCATGCGGAATTGTTTTTCACCAAAAATAACGAAAGCCGGAGGCCCGTCCTGGCTACAGCTGGCCTACCGACCCTAGACTACCAACCTACAGTCCTACTAGCCCAGCTTGACAAGCCAGTGGCTGCGCTACGAAGAGACGTGACTAAAACTGAGTCCTGCTGGCCAGGTGTAGTGACAACAAGAACGATAACAACAGACCGTGGTTGGGTTGCGCCCAGCAGAAGGGGAGAGCCTACAAGGGGGGCAAATGCAGTAACGACGCTCGAGCGTGCTGTTTGTGGGAAGAAAACGCTGGGGTGTACTGTTTGCGTGAAGAAAGTAGGTGCCTTCCAGAAGCTGCTTGAAAGTGCAAGCACGAGGTCCACTGAGCAGAGTACCAGACGGCAGTAGCAAACATGACCAAACTTCGACTAATCATCCTTCCCTGCAGAAATGAACGTCTGGTTGAGAAAAATAAGACGTAAAAGACCGCAAACAGTTAAGGGTGCATCAAGAAGACGTTAAAACAAATGGCAGACGAAGTATTGGCACTCGTTCCAAAATCAAGCTTAAAATATCAAGCTGTTACAGTTGTACCTTCACAATTGCTCCTTTGCTGTTGGTCACCTTCACGGTGAAATCCTGCGATCCCCGCAGAATCTTAATTAACTCACGAGAACTCATGTTATGCATCTCGTCCACCGCCAGGAACACATCAAGCACCTGCCACAATCACCAACAGAGCAGAACAGCAGCGATCAGAGCAGTGAACAATACATCCACAATTCCACATCTGTGATGAGAAATGGTCCATGCAACCGGCCATTCAAGCTCTCTGCCACGACAATAAAGGCACTAAAAGCTCAGAGTAGTTGCAGAAGGTCAGCAGAGGACACAATACTCTAGCCACAAGGGACCCCCCATGGGAATAAGCAAATACATGGTCGTAGTAACCGACCCAGGGCCGAGGAAGGCACATAGCCACCTTCCAATGGTAGCAGTCTAAAGTGGGGCATCAGCATCCACAGTTGCTACCTCCTAATCTCCGACAGAGATGGACGAGCTGAAACCACCTCCCCATATCTGCAACCAGGGCGGTCTCACAGGGCCTTTTCATTTTCAAGTTGGTCCGATAGATGCCCAGTTCGGCAGCCACAGTTTTTTGTTCGATCCGCAGAAGCCGGCCCGTACTCAGAGGCTGGTCACAAAAAGGAAGTGGTCGTTTGAACTAACAAACAGGCTTCAAGGCCTGACAGACAGTGACAGCATTATCAACAGCTTGCCTGAGACTGTGAATCCTAAGCACTTCTGGCTCGAGCAAGCATATGCAAGTGCTCATCAGCAGGCGTGCCCCGGAATGAGATGTACGCGGACAACAACACAAGAAAGGCATGGCTGTCACGGGGTCTCATTACACTTTCACTAACTCATCACAGGGTTATGTGACTTATGTCTTTGCATTTTTGTGTGTGTTTTGGATTTCCACCACAACAGCCCCTAATCCACCCAAATGAGTAGAACCAAATTCAAAGCAGCTTTTGTCTGTGTGTTTCTCTGAATGCATGTCTCTGTCTGTCTGTCTGTCTGTGCGTTTGTGTGTCTAGGCTCGTCTCTGTGCCTCAGTGCCTGTGTGTTTCTGCCACGGTGTCTCTGTGTGTGTCTCTGTGCATCTGTGTGTCTACATGTCTGTTACATGCTGAGCCTGCACACGAGCCCCATTTTAAGGGCCCGACGGTTGCCGGGGGTCCCAGGCCGCACGCCCTCGGACATGCGCCCTGGAGGCCCACGGCCGGCCTGAGGGCCGCAGGATTCGATTAGCATTTATTTATTTAATTAATTAATTTATTTATTTATTTGCTGTCCTATTTTTGTCTGTTCAGGCGTCGTTTCGCACTTGCAGTTTGTCCGAACAGACTTTTAGTCTGTTCGGACAAGGCCACGTTTTTGGCCTGGTACGGACGTAGGCAGGCCCTGTTGGGCCAGGTCCACTTTTGTCCGATAGCAGACACTCCCTGCTGCATCGCAAGGAGGGCCTGGACATCCGGTAGGGACCCAGGCAGACCGTTTTAGACCTAGGACCAGAAACGTCTTCTCCCTCACCTCCGTCTTCGTCTCACCTCTCCCCCCATCTCCTCATCCGTGGTATCTCCCCATGTGCGTGCTCAAGGAGGGACCTTTCTTCCATGTATGCGGTCCCTCCCTTCTCTCTTACATGTGTGGTGTATGATTGGGTGTCGCGTCAGTATCTGACAGGTCAGGACATATCTTTGAGTCTTCCGTTGCACTACATTATGCTATTTCCGTATGTATCTGGATGTACATTGCTTGTTGACGCTTTGCAGGCGCTGCATTGTCCATTTGCATCCTTTTCATCACTTTGCCGATCCTTGGCTCCATATACATCGCTCGACTGAGCATGTATCAATGTCTCTCTGTCTGTCTCTGTGTCTGTCTCGCCGTGCCTCTATGTCTCTGTGTGCCTCTGTGTGTCTCTGTGTCTCTGTGTGTCTCTGTGAGTCTCTCACTGACTGTCTCCGTGTCTGTCTGCGAGTCTCTCTGTGTCTCTGTGTGTGTCTTTGTGCGCATGTGTCTGTGTGTCCATGTGTGTCCGTGTGTGTCCGTGTGTGTCCGTGTGTGTCCATGTGTCTGTGTCTCTGTGACTCTGTGCGTCTCTGTCTCTCTGTCTCTCTTTCTCTCTGTCCCTCTGTCTCTCTGCCTCTGTATCCCTGTGTGTGTATCACTGCATGTGTTGTGTGTGCAGGCAGATGTGTGCGATGTTAGAGTCTGTTACATGTACCACATTCACAATCCAGAATGGAGTGTCTCAGAACACCACACATCTGCTGCACACACATAGGGGGGGGGGAACAAAGCCAGCTGCACTCTCCATCAGATGCCTTCCCACTGCGGACACGTGAGCACTCGTGAGAACTGCATGTACCTGCTCACTCCTCCGTACAGCCTCATCTCTAAGAATCTTCATCTGCACAATATGCACACACAAGAGACGATGAAACATGGATAAGTTTTATAAGCCCTATCATCCACAGGACAGGAAGAAAAAGGTGTCCACAGCAATCCCTCCCACAAGTTCAGCTGGGAAAACCACCTATACGCTCAAATGTTCATGCAAACTCTGGTTTTGACCAAGCAAATGCAAAACAGATCCATAACAACATCCCTGGTACCATATGCTGCGGAAAGTTCTTTAGAAGAAACAAGTGGACCCGCTGCAGCCAAGCGGAGGTGCACAAGAGGGGTGTGAGCAGAGGAAGGGAGGAAGGCAAAGGGGGGAAGGAGGGTGGACGAGAGAGAATGGAGGACAACAGAGCATTAATGAGCGTTTTGGCACAGCAATCAACTGATGGACGTACTTGCAATCTCCTTCATTTGTCTCCTGACATGTACAGGAATGACAAACCGTTGATCGGATGACAGAATTGTGTTGGCAAAGCAGGAAAAGCAAGAAAACAAAATCGGGTGATCCTCGTCTGCTCATTGTTGAGGGCCTGGTCTCTCGTCACTGTTGAAAGGCTAGGTCTTTCCATCTCTTAGTTCTGTACAGTTGTTGTTGCCGCATGCACGCCACGGCGGAGCGGTCGCACACGGAGAAAAAAAAAAAAAAAAAAACCTGCCACAGTAAGCACAACTTGGGCCTCGGCATGGCCAGGCACCACCGTGCGGGCAGGGTGGTATCACGCAACACGGGTGATTGGGTGGGTATTATATGGCCTGCGTGATTTAATGGGCCTCGCCACCCCACCGGCATACTGCACAACAGACAAAAACTATGGCGGTGAATCTTTCCATGTTCTAGCGGTAGATTCATTCTCATTTGCTCACTCGGTCAGTGTGGCGGGGCCAGGCCCTGAGACTTTACGCTGTTTCGGCCCTCGCTGAGAGAAGATTCTTGTGACCATGGCCCCTGCGCGAGGATGAGGCCCACGCACAAGAGACAAAAAATGTGGCGGTGTATCTTCACATGTTCGAAGATTCATTCTCACTACTCATGGTGGTGAGTAGTGCAACCAGGCCAAATCGAGGGGCCACTATCCCGGCACAAGGATGTGGGCCTAGCTCCACTAATCACCACACTCACAAAAGACAAAACACATTGAAGTGTACCTACGCATGTTCTAGAAGAAGATTCATTCTCATTTTGCACATTTGGCAAGTAGTGGAGTGAGGCCCTGACACATTAAATCGAGGGACCATAAGGATGGCATGCCTAAATTGAAAAATGGTCAAAGAAAACAAAACAACAATCAAAAGAATCTACAGGATCCAAGAACAACAAAAAGAAAAACCTGAGGGGATCTACGGCGAGCAACCCAACTAGCAAACAGCACGTGAAGCAGGGTTGCACCCCTGCCGACCGCCGACCCCGACCGCCGACCGTATTGCAGCCGACCAGTAGGGCCGACCGGTCGGCGGTCTGCCGACCAGTCAGAAAACAACCATCCACTGATTTTTTTTCAAATCCGAGTTGGGGGCTGTACTCCGCTTGCTGAGTACAGTCCAAATCCGCTGAGAAACTTTTGGGGTGCAATCAGACTCGTTCTCAAACACACTTTTCATGCATGTAAACAGCAACCCAGCATACTGGCGACATGCGCCCACTCAAAACTCAGAGATATGGCTTCCAGATACGAGTTCACTCTCAATTGGCTATGGCGACTTCAGCGCCCAAACATCTCACTGTTCACATACACTGGATCACCCTGGATATCCCACACGCATCACTCTGAACACTCGACACACACACACACACACACACTCTCTACTGACTACGGCTATGGCAGCTATGGCTGCCTCTAACCTATTGCTAACTAACTCCTCCTCTCTGCCCACTGCGACCTCCGGGCTCATTTGCGGACCTCCTTGCACAAGGCGCTGTGGCAGCGCTTCCGCATGGCTCCCGCAGGAATGAATGAATGGCTGGGCGCTGCCTCTTAATTTATACTTCAGAAACTCGTTGGTCTGCCCTTTGCCATCGGCCCTTGGTGCTCACAGTCCCCCTGTGGTACTTGCTGGACCGGACTGGGACTGACTGGACCTTCCGCTGACTGACTGTGGACTCACTGCTATCCTACCGACGTTGTACTGCTGTTGCACTGCGGTTTAGTCCACAACTTGCCTCACCACTTGACCACTTGCCCACTTGCCTACCTTCTAGAAGGTCTACAGCCAAGCTCCCGGAACTCAGTACGACTTCTACGGTATAGACCTACAGATCGAACCCCTGCTGCCTAGGGACCTACGACAGACCTACCAACTGTCTGCGAATACACAGGTCACAGGTTCAATTCTCGGGATCTATACAGATACTGTACATAGGTAGGGTGAGAACTAGGGATCGAACCCTGGGTACTGCATCCGCTACTGCTAAAAGGTGAAAACCGTGTCACTCCCGCCGTCCTAAATTCGAGGTCCTCCGAGAACATTTCAGTCCAAGGCGGGACCTTTACCTTTCTTGTCACGTTCATAGGCTCTGACTATGTCGGGAGCGGTTTCTAGAAGTTCTGTTTTCGTGAACCAGCAGTCGTCTTCCGGTTCCTGATAGGCAAAACGGACCTTATATTGTTTCTGGGGACAACCTCTACCTCCTGTTCTGAACACATCCTCATCTACAATGCCTTCGGATCTGCTCACCAGGTAAGTCCGTTTAGAAGTAGATTATTTGTTTGGCCTTCTAAATCGGCGCTGAATTATTATCAAGTTCAAAGTTGCAAAAAAATTTCTTTTCGGTACTCCGGCACTCTATTTAGTTCGGCATTTCCGTTCAATTCGGTATTCGGACTTATAATTCGGATTTCTGTTTTCTTCCGGTATGCTGCTATTTGAGTTCCGATTGAGTAATACTAATCCGATAATCGATTAAGTTTCGGATTTCTGATGTTACACGAATTAGGGTTGAATCAGTATCATGTTGAAATTCGGTGTTTCTGATTTCCATTCAGCATTCCGTTTTCAGCATTTTTGTTGTAAATCCTATATTTCGTTGTCTTTTGGATTTCCGTTGTCTTTCAGTATTGGAAATTAGGGTTACGAGAATCTTTGGGTTTTAGATCAACTTGGGGAAATTTAAACGTTTTGGGACCGTAAATCCGGAAATTTCGCCGAAACGCGGAAAATTAGGGTTGGGACCGAAATTTTCGCGAATTTTTTTTTTCGTTCTCCTTGTTTGAGAAATTCCGAAAATAGGTTTCGGCTTTTAAAAATCGGATTTTGACGGTGGAAATTCCCGAAAATTCGCGTTTTTGAAAATTCGAGCGTTTTTTTCTTCTGAAACTTTCCGAAATTTTTAGCACACTAAGCCGTATCTGACCCTCAAACTGCAACTTCCGGGTAGTTCACTCAGTAACGGTGAACTCCCGGACTCAAAGTGATCTCAAAGAAACCCAATCATAATACCTTTCAAATTCGTTTATTAATTGGTTATCTTTTGTTTTACTGATTATCATTCGGATTTATTTCGTTAATTATCATTAATTGATTTTATTGATTAAATCTTTTCCTGTTTGATTAGGTGTCTACAGTCCATCAGTGGGACGGGGGATTGTATGTATATTGCTTGATTGTTCTACCTCTGTTCCCACTCTACCTACCCCCCTGTAGTCTGTGAACACCGGCACCTCTCAAGTACCGCATCAGTTCAGACTGATGTCGACGGAACAGGACACCGGGGCACTGCCACGGCGCAGTGCCAGGATCGCAGTTCGTGCCCGCCCTGCGGTACCTCCAAGACCCAAGAGATTCAG